GTTTGACCGGCCTGAAACCCTCCAAACGCTTCCGCAGGCCTCCAAGGCAACAACTCTTACAGCTACATGCCCCTGCCATCTGTTTTTCAGGGAGTTCAAGACTGCCGTTTGACCGGCCTGAAACCCTCCAAACGCTTCCGCAGGCCTCCAAGGCAACAACTCTTACAGCTACATGCCCCTGCCATCTGTTTTTCAGGGAGTTCAAGCCTGCCGTTTGCCAGCCCACAAAACCCCCCAAATGCTTCCCTGCAGCTCCCATGCCGTTTGCCAGCTCCGGCATTGTCCTTTTATGGTGGTTCAAGCCTAAACCCCCCAAATGCTTCCCTACAGCTCCCATGCCGTTTGCCAGCCCCGGCATTGTCCTTTTATGGTGGTTCAAGCCTGCCGTTTGCCAGCCCGCAAAACCCCCCAAATGCTTCCCTGCAGCTCCCATGCCGTTTGCCAGCCCCGGCATTGTCCTTTTATGGTGGTTCAAGCCGGCCGGTTGCCAGCCCGCAAAACCCCCCAAATGCTTCCCTGCAGCTCCCATGCCGTTTGCCAGCCCCGGCATTGTCCTTTTATGGTGGTTCAAGCCTGCCGTTTCCCCGCCCGCAAACCCCCCCAAATGCTTCCCTGCAGCTCCCATGCCGTTTGCCAGCCCCGGCATTGTCCTTTTATGGTGGTTCAAGCCTGCCGTTTGCCGGCCCGCAAAACTCCCCAAATGCTTCCCTGCAGCTCCCATGCCGTTTGCCAGCCCCGGCATTGTCCTTTTATGGTGGTTCAAGCCTGCCGTGTGCCCGCCCGCAAAACCCCCCAAATGCTTCCCTGCAGCTCCCATGCCGTTTGCCAGCCCCGGCATTGTCCTTTTATGGTGGTTCAAGCCTGCCGTCTGCCAGCCCGCAAAACCCCCAAATGCTTCCCTGCAGCTCCCATGCCGTTTGCCAGCCCCGGCATTGTCCTTTTATGGTGGTTCAAGCCTGCCGTTTGCCTGCCGTTTGCCTGCCCGCAAAACCCCCCAAATGCTTCCCTGCAGCTCCCATGCCGTTTGCCAGCCCCGGCATTGTCCTTTTATGGTGGTTCAAGCCTGCCGTTTGCCCGCCCGCAAAACCCCCCAAATGCTTCCCTGCAACTCCCATGCCGTTTGCCAGCCCCGGCATTGTCCTTTTATGGTGGTTCAAGCCTGCCGTTTGCCAGCCCGCAAAACCCCCCAAATGCTTCCCTGCAGCTCCCATGCGTTTGCCAGCCCCGGCATTGTCCTTTTATGGTGGTTCAAGCCTGCCGTTGCCCGTTTGCCAGCTTGCAAAACCCCCCAAATGTTTCCCTGCAGCTCCCATGCCCTTTGCCAGCCCCGGCATTGTCTTTTTATGGTGGTTCAAGCCTGCCGTTTGCCAGCCCGCAAAACCCCCCAAATGCTTCCCTGCAGCTCCCATGCCGTTTGCCAGCCCCAGCATTGTCCTTTTATGGTGGTTCAAGCCTGCCGTTTGCCAGCCCGCAAAACCCCCCAAACGCTTCCCTGCAGCTCCCATGCCGTTTGCCAGCCTCGGCATTGTCCCTTTATGGTGGTTCAAGCCTGCCGTTTGCCCGCCCGCAAAACCCCCCAAATGCTTCCCTGCAGCTCCCATGCCGTTTGCCAGCCCCGGCATTGTCCTTTTATGGTGGTTCAAGCCTGCCGTTTGCCCGCCCGCAAAACCCCCCAAATGCTTCCCCGCAGCTCCCATGCCGTTTGCCAGCCCCGGCATTGTCCTTTTATGGTGGTTCAAGCCTGCCGTTTGCCCGCCCGCAAAACCCCCCAAATGCTTCCCTGCAGCTCCCATGCCGTTTGCCAGCCCCGGCATTGTCCTTTTATGGTGGTTCAAGCCTCCCGTTTGCTAGCCCGCAAAAACCCCCAAATGCTTCCCTGCAGCTCCCATGCCGTTTGCCAGCCCCGGCATTGTCCTTTTATGGTGGTTCAAGCCTGCCGTTTGCCCGCCCGCAAAACCCCCCAAATGCTTCCCTGCAGCTCCCATGCCGTTTGCCAGCCCCGGCATTGTCCTTTTATGGTGGTTCAAGCCTGCCGTCTGCCAGCCCGCAAAACCCCCAAATGCTTCCCTGCAGCTCCCATGCCGTTTGCCAGCCCCGGCATTGTCCTTTTATGGTGGTTCAAGCCTGCCGTTTGCCCGCCCGCAAAACCCACCAAATGCTTCCCTGCAGCTCCCCCAACCCCCATCACCCATTTTTTAGTATATTTTTGATACCCCCAACACACCAACCCCACCCCATCCCCAACCCCATCCCCCAACCCCTCGGCCCCACCATGTGAAGCTCCAGGCCATGGCGATGATGAGGCGCCACAACTCGTGGCCCTGGCGCGGCAAGCTCAGCAGCTTCCGGAGATCAGTACCCTTGATTATCCCTGAGTTTCAAAATCAATGATACTCTACCACCAATCATACAATGATAGGAGGCCAAATATGCTTAAAAATATGAACTGAGGTCTGACTTCAAATTTGTAGCGTCATACTCATGGCATACACATTGCACATTGTGTGGCAAATTGAATTGCGGCATGTTGGGGCATATCAAAACATATATGTCCATGTCTGTCCCACCATGTACCACCATCGACCTCAGCACGGTCCGCCGGAAGCGACGCGCCACTGACCCACTGAACCGCTGATGCCGTCGGATGCCGTCGGAGTATCTATCTCTCCCTCTCTATCTATCTATCTATCTCTCCCTCTCTATCTTTCTCTCCCCCTCTATCTATCTCTCCCTCTCTATCTATCTATCCATCTATCTATCTATCCATCCAGCTATCTATCCATCTATCCCTCCATCTACTTATCTGTCTATCCAACTGTCTATCTATCTATCTGTCTATCTCTCTCTCTCTCTATCTCTCTACCTATCTATCCATCCATCCATCCATCCATCCATCCATCCATCCATCCATCCATCTATCTATCCATCTATCTCTCTCCCTCTCTCTGCAGGACCCCCCAAATAGGGGGGGTCGGCGGCACCCGGGCGCTAGCCCATTCTATTATGTATTATTGGTATACAGCTAGGTAAGAATCACCAACGCTAATTCACCCCTCAAGAACTTTCAAACGAGCGTTTCTTGCCCCTGGAGCGAAAAAAAACGACCGACAATCGTGTGAAGTTTGTAGCATCGTTTGTGGAAGCCGACGCCTTTTGCACTGCTCATGAGAAAGACTACTGTGGTAGGACATGTATATAACCACAGAAAGAATATCATAATGACAAGAATATCACACAATATATCATGATAATTCGGAATATCACATATTAATAAGTTCCCCATTTGTGGCAATGAAATAACATATGAAATATATATCACATCCTTCACTCTATCCTTCACCCCCGGATTACTTCCCAGCCTGGATTGCTTGCAAAACAGAGCATGACAGAGGAGCCACAGGATTTGTCGTATGTGATTTTCTTGTCTTCAGCTACCATCCTTGGGGGGGTCCCCCGGCTGTGGCCGCCCCATGGCAGGGATGAGACTGGATCACCTTGTTTAGCCATGGCCTGGCTGGTCCTTCCATGGTGCTATAGCTGTCCCCCGAAAACCCGGATCTCTTCAGAGTCCGGAAAAGAATCCATTGCTAATCTTGGATCCCATGGAAAAAAAAACACATCTTTTAGCCACATTTTGGTCGATGTTCTTTTTCCCATCACCGTGCCTAGCCTCAACGCCTGGAGCCTGAGCCAAATTCGCAAGTTTTTCGCGGCTCAATGGTGGGGAATACCAACCGCGGTGTCTTTTGGGGTTCAACAATTTCTAAATACCATGTTGGTATCATTTGGTTATATGATGTTATATGTCTGGTTGGTGGTTTTAACATGTTTTAACCATCTTGAAAAATATGAGTTCGTCAATGGGAAGGATGACATCCCATATATTATGGAAAATAGCAAATGTTCCAAACCACCAAACCAGTGTGGTTGGAACAGCAGACCAAGAAGATGACGGGTGTCGGGTGTTTATTTTCTGCCACCTTCTGAAAAAATCCATGCAGGTTAACTGAGACTTTCCATGGGATCAAACATATGAATCAACCGTGTTGGGCACAACTCACCTATTAGTTGGCCGTTCGCATCCCAGCTTTGATGGCTGTCAGTTGATGATGTTTGTTCCTGGGGTTTAAGAACCCTACCCCAATCATATTACTTGGGGATTCTCATCATCCAGGAACTGGCAATCCCTATTATTTCAGCAACCAGCATTAAACAATGACACATGGTTTTGCACACTGCATTCCCATGAGTTGTTTGGCAAAAAAGGCAAAATCCAGTTCGGAACTGTACTTTTGGTGACTTTGTTTTCCATGATCCAAGCGTTTTCAAAATAGGTAAACTTTAAGGAACACTCTGCAGTAAGCAATGGTCTCTTGCACCAAATCCATCAGGATTGCTGGCGAAACAACATCGATCCAGCGAGGTGACCCTGTGCCATCATGCCAAGTGGTGGATGATAGGATGGATAATTCTATCATCACTGATATCATATAATTATACCATGGATTATATGGGGATACCATGGGAATATCATGATTTAATGGTGATTTAATGGGAATTAATGGTGATATAATTACTGATTGGTGGTTTCAACCTACCCCTCTGAAAAATGATGGAGTGAGTCAGTTGGGAATCTTATTCCCATTATATGGAAAAATAAAAGCCATGTTCCAAACCACCAACCAGATTCTATCTGTCAATGTTTTTTTTGGAATATCAACATATTTGCGACATTGGAATGATGATCGTCCCAGAATCTGCACCCGTGCTGGCTACGGTATTAACGGTATGATGTTTCCATTGAAGTGTTGGTTACCCTCTGGTAAACTAACATAACTAATTATGGAAAATCACCATGTTTAATGGGAAAATTCACTATTTCTATGGTCATTTTCAATAGCTTTTTGTATGTTTAGCAGAGGGTAAATACGATCTGCTTGATGCTGAATCCACACATCACTCTCCCATACTTCAGGCCCGATGACACGCCGAACGGCTGCTTTTGGTTCTGCGATTTCTGTAGAGAAGTCCTTGATGACATCGAAACAATAACTGGATCCACGACAGATCTGCGATTCAAAGCAGAATGCCCTGGTGATTGTGGCATCATGAAATGTAGGTCTCAACAACTACAAGGATGAGTTTCGATTCTTCGTCAGGGGCTCAGTATTTTTGTCACAGCTGTCAATCCGGTGGCCAAAGGCCGTGCAATGGCTCACATAACTCCGCCCTACTTGAACTCAATGTATGTGGCATAAATGCCGCTCATGAACACCAAACCTGGCAGCCAGTGCGCAGCTTGGCGAGTGCTGGCGCTTCTTTTGGGGTGTTGGGTGCGTGCATCGTGCTAGCTAAAAGGATAGGCCCCTGCGAGTTGACGAACTACAGTTCAATTGACAAGTCACAACATGTTGCGTTGCAACACTAGTTCAGTGGTAGTCCACAGTCCATGGGTTTGTGGACACCAAACTATCAAACATGAATATTCCACCAACCAAAGCAGAAAGGGAAACAGTTGTGATCCCCAAAAAAAAGGATGGCCCTGGATTCTTGTAATTCTTACCCACAGGTTTGTTTCATGCGATTGTAAACCGTGGATTGATAACCCACTAGGTTGTTTATCTGTTTGGGATCCGTTTCAAATTTCTCTGCCCGTATCCAAATGCTTGCGGGAGGGCAAGTTGCACACTATAGCAACTTCCCAGACATGAATAGAAATTGCAGCAAAGTCTGCGATGGGAAGCAGTTACCCCTAAAAAGCATCCATACCACCATGGAGTATACCCCTTGGGCAGAGATTGGGTTTGTTTGGAAATGGAGTATACCCTCTGGATCCCTCTGGTAATCAAACTTAGGCATGGAAAATGGATAAACATGGCAATGTTTAAGAGGTAATTCATCATAATTAATCTACTCTCATGGGTCACTTTCGATGGGTATGTGAAATTGCCAGAGCATACCAGAGCATATCCCAAAACTGCAAACAATGCCATTATATAATCTGGATAAATGAGCGTGTTGAAAACCCTGTGCTGTTCCTCTACAGTGCTTGCGTGATAGGGATTCCGTACTCATGGATTATGCCATTGCCCAATATGTTGGTTAGTATAATTCATCCCCAAACTAATGATCATATGTTAGACACTTAAAACATCTTAAAACCCCAGAAAAATATCCATATATTTTCATTTTTGATGCTTAAATCACCGCCATAATCATCAACCAACTGGGGTCTCTTGCAGCCACCACTCAACGGTGATACGTATTGGATCTATAATGATCTGGTGACTAACAGTTTGCCATGGAAAATCCCAACCATAAATGGAGCTTTCAAACGCTGGGAAAATCCATGCTATTTCGATTAGGGCCATCTATACCATGGCGATGTTAGTCATAACCAGAGGGTATATATGTATATTATGTTTTTCTGCACATGACTCAAAGCTTTAAAAAAACTCCATTTATATAGGGATTTCCCATTCTATATTTGATGACACCGGATGGTTTCTTCCCAAACCAGAGGGTATAATTACTCCATTTCAATGAATGTATATAGATGATTTACCTATTGAACATTGCCATTTCCATCCATTTTCCATGCTTACCCTCTGGTAAGCTAACATAGCTATGGAAAATCACAATTTTTAATGGGAAAACTCACTATAAATGGCCATTTTCAATAGCTATGTTAAATTACCAGAGGGTAAATTTGATTCCCAGAGGGTATCCCATAATGTCATGGATTTAAAACGTCATACCCTCTGGGTCCCCATGCCACTGATGGTTCCAGATGCCACCCCCGCTGGCATATTGCCTGCCAGCGAAAGGCCACGGCTCCATTCACCGAGACAAAATCATGTTTAGAGAAACCATACCATTTGCAGGCCGGTGGAAAACTTTGAGTTGATAGTTCACAAATAGCATCTCTGAAAGCATCCGGAAGCTCAGTCGAAGATGTTCACGAGTTCAAGTAAACCAACTGGATGATTGCCCAAAAGTGACGACTGGATTTAGTGAAACATATTTGTTCTGGTTAAACCTCCATGTTCTTACAAAACAATTCAACGTGTTGCTCAGTCATTCCCAGCTTTGATCTGGATTTTTTCAGACAAGTCACAGTTGGATGAAGAAAAAATTGTTGACTTAAACGATCATGAAACATGGGAGCCATGCTAGTTTATCAGATTTTGACGATTAGTAATGATTTGTACATTTTGCTGCTTTGATCAAATCCCCTATTTTTGATAGCAAACTCCCTACTTCTTCAGGAACATCCCAATGTTTGTTGGTAGAAAATCCATGATTGATAGTTAAATAAGAATCTTTGACAGCCACATCCGCATGTTTGTTGGTTAAAATTCCATGTTTGATAGTGAAATAGTATTTTGTTCTTGGCAACGCCCCCATTTTGTTGGTTAATTTCCAAGGTTTTTGCCGAAGGCACCCTTCATTCTTGCCATTCGATCCCTGGTGTAGAGCACAGCACCATAGCTGCGACAGAGGGCGAAGATGCTCAGCAACACTGCAGTTGTCCAAGGGAAGACATAGGCAGACAGCAGAACCCTGGAGACATGGCATGGGAAGTTTCAAAAGTTGGGGGATTTACCATGATTTACCAATTTAGCATGAAGATCATACTCCCAATTACCATGCTTTATCATGATTTACCAATTTAGATTTACTAGATTGGGATTTACCATGATTTACTTTATCATGATTTACTCCCAATTTTTGGATGCCCCAATCTATCAAGCTTCAAGATCCAACAAAATCAACAGCAGTTTACGTGGCGCCAACTTACCAGGGATACATGGACCGCGAGGGGACGAAAAGGGTACCGGTCATGATGCCATGGTTTGGTATATTTCCCATGAACCAACAATACGTGGGTATATCTACCACATGATAGCATATGATAGCGGGCCATGGCGGGATAGCATTGGGTCTACAATATAACATAGTATAACCAACCAGATGACATGGGTTTGCCACCCAAAAATGAAGATCTACCCCGGCCATGGCACTTTTTTAAAATAAATTTGACAAGGAAAATGACTGTCAATTGTCACAATTGCGGGAAAGCATGAGTTTGCAGGTTTGCATCAAACCGGATGTTCGACCACGTGTGCACCGTGTGTATGCATTGACATTGATTCGACCTTCCCATCAAGTTTGGTCATGCTGGGATCAAATGGCATGCATACCCCAAATGGTCTACTTGAGGGAATACTAGAGGGCTTGAAACGCCCAAAGCTTACCAAATCTTAGTCGGTTCATGAGTCAGTCAATTAGGAGTGTCATCGTGTCTGAGAGGAGCCCCATTGGCAAGCTCGCTTGAATAAACACAACATCCTTAATATCCTTTCAATCCAACAGCATGTCAGTCATGTTAGACTCTTTTCCAATGCATAATTACAAGGTGGCGAGGGGGCGACCCATGCTTTGCTAAATTGCTGTACTACCAAGATAACTAGCATCTATGATTTATGGCAAACATATCGAACCAGTTATATAGTGGGATGAACACGAACTAACAAACAAAACTGGAGGGCACCCCTCCTTGTACATAGACATATAGAATCATATAAAGATATAATAATATATAGATACATATATATATAGTATAGATACATATCATATATATATATACAGATAGGTATACATAGGTAGCCTCATGAGGCAGGTTCTCAATCCCAAGTGAGCCATTGAAAAATACTGCCGTCCCATCCCCAGATGTTGATGCTACAGATGAAGTGACAGCAGTGACTCATGGGGGTTTCCTAGGTCATAGGGGTACCAGTCATCATCCATTTTTCGATGAATTTTCACTACAAAAAAACACCATCCAGCTATTGGGTATCCCCGTTTATGGAAACCCCCCTTTATGACAAGTGGCTCAAGGGCAAATGGAAAAGTCTGCTCATAGATGTTCTGAACTCCACGTTGGGCGCGATTAAACGCGCCAAAGGCGCCGTCCTAGTGCGAAAAATGACAGATCCGCAAGGAATTCACCGAATGCCCGCGAAACATAGGGATTGCACCGGCGGAGAAAAAAAAAACATAGTGATTTAACCAGGAAAAACTCAGATTCAAGAGAGTCAAGCAGTATACATAAATGAATGTGTATATATATATACATGTATATGAAAGAACATGAAAGAACATGAAAGAACATCATACAGTATGAAAGAACATACCCATGATATTGAAATCACTAGGTAGTCGCCCTCTCTTGGTCTGAAAGAAAGACATGCAACAAGACATTGTTCGAAGCTGATTTGTGCACTTCCCGTTCAGCCATCAAGCAAGTGACTGTGAATAGATTCTGCAAGTTGATGCAGCTGACATGGTATCTAAATGTCCATGGTTCCAACATCGGGTAGCCAATAAACACACCTTTCCTGATTTGTGGATCTATTCGTCTTCAAATGTGTCTTGAGCACTAAACCTTGGATTTCTAGGAGGTCAATAATTAATTGTCTCCCCAGGGCAGGCAAGAAATCATTGGACATTTGGAAACCGTAAACATGTTTTTCTAACGCTGGAGTTGATCATGTTTGGATCCTACAATATGTGAAGTTTGTCTGAACGTATAGTACCCCCAAATCCATGCAAATCGAGCGAACATCAACAATTTTGCAGTTGTTTTGACATGTTTTGACATGTATTGACCATGTTGGGGTCTCTCGCCATCTTGAGACACACCCATTGCATCATGTTTGGTTGCATACATGATTATCCTGTTATATCCCATTACATCACATTATAGTCATCTTCTGATTAAATAATCTTATACCCCATGACTTCGTTGCTGGTTGAATCCCTTTTTTTTCTCTGTGGATCTCAACTTTTCCGAAAGTGGGAATCCCCATTCAATCATATCAATCATTCTTGGCAAAATTACTTAAACATTCCATTTTTAATTCAATCATTCTTGGCAAAATTACTTCAACATCCATCAACATCCCATTTTTACTGGTGAAATCTGGTGAATTTCCTCATTTCTTGGAGGAATCCCACCAAAAATTCCTTGAACGTCCCACCTCATCCATGAGGACCAGGGAGCCAGCAGCAGATCCACCCACCACCTGAGGGGGGTTCACCCAGAAAACCAGCAGATCTTATGGATATATGATATGATATGTATATGATATGGACATGATATGGAAATAATATGTGATACTGTAATATATGGATGATATTTCTTTCAAGGCTTTTACCATGATTTAAAAAACTATATATAACTGTGATATATGGCTGATATTTCTTTAAAGGTTTTTACCATGATTGAAAAACACGTGTATATATATATGGTGTTTGATGGTGTTTAAACATCAAGTAGATATGTCAAATACCACCCCTTAAAGGGGCTACAAAATCATGAATAAATCCAATACATTTCAACAGGGTTTTGGTTCGGGGTATTCCATGTTTGGGGGGCAAGGGATTATCAAACAAACAAAATCTATGGGCTTCTACCATCAAAAAATGGGATTGAACAGGGGCCAAATGGTGCTATGATGATATTGCATGATATAGCTAGCACTGTCATTACTATCCATTTATAGCTAACATTAGCTAACACTGTCATCATGTCATCCATTTCTTGTCTGTCTGAAAATGGTCTATCCCATTTTCGCGGCGACATACCCATGATCCCAGTGGTTGGGGCCTTGTAGACGTGCTGGTCCGGCACGTTGACACCCGACGCGCGTCGCGCATTGCCAAGGGAGCCCAACGCCACGGCCAGGCTCAGCTTCACCAACATAATGGCCAGGAACCTCGGGAGTCATTTGGAACTACCATCGCTGGTGTTTTTTCGCCCGTTCCCAGTGACAAAAAATCGCTAGAAATGGTGTGATCATTCGATAAATGAGTTATATCATGTTCTAATTGACTTTTCACTGGGGGGAACTAGAAAAGAATGGGCTGTATCCCCTGGTAATCAAGTTCGCCATGGAAAATACATGGAAAATACATGGAAAATTGATGAACATGGCAATGTTTAAGAGGTAATTTATCATAATTCATCTACTTTCATGGGTCACTTTCGATGGGTATGTGAAATTGCCAGAGCATACCAGAGCATATCCAAAACTGCAAACAATGCCATTATATAATGTGAATAAACGAGCGTGTTCCAAACCCTGTGTCGTTCCTCTACAGTGCTTGCGTGATAGGGATTCCGTAATCACGGATTATGATGCCATTGCCCAATATGTTGGTTAGTATAATCCCATCAACCAACCGGGGTTTAGCAGCCACTGCTCAAATTGGGTATCCAGACCATCCTTTAAACCAACATAGATGCGGAACATGTATGGTTTCCCTAGGAACATGATCTACAGTCATTGTGGGTTGTCCGCATCTATCTATGTCGGTTAAATGGGAGGGTAAGCATCAAAGAAATGGACATATCATCTAGAAATAACAATAACAGTTAATGTTGAATTTTAGGATGTTTATGGGGATATAATGCAAATATCATGAATACAATGGTTTTACCCTCACTAGCTGGAAAACTCAACTCACAGAGTCTTAAAGAAATTTACTATCGCAACTGTGATGCAATTGGATGCAATGCTTGGATATAAGTGCTCGCTGGCCTTTTTTGAGTTGACATTCCCTAGTCACATGACCCATACCCCCCAAAACCCCCATTCCAAAAAAAGGTCACACACCCATCCACTGGTTGAATCCACCTCAATGATGCCTCCAACCCAGACAGAAACTCCATAGCTATATATACACACATATATATATATGTGCATACATGTGTGTGTGTGTGTGTGTGTCTGTGTGTCTGTGTGTCTGTGTGTCTGTGTGTCTGTCTGTCTGTCGGTCTGTCTGTCTGTCGGTCTGTCTGTTTGTCGGTCTGTCTGTCTGTCTGTCTCTCTGTCTGCTGTCTGTCTGTCTGTCTGTCTGTCTGTCTGCCTGCCTGCCTGCCTGCCTGCCTGCCTGCCTGCCTGGCTGGCTGGCTGGCTGGCTGGCTGTCTGTCTGTCTGTATGTATGTATGTATGTATGTATCTATATATATATATCATATCATAGCATATCATATCATATCATATCGCATCATATCATATCATGTGTATGTATAAATATATATATATATATATCCATGCATAATTATGTATATATATACACGCATGACAACAATACATGTATATACGAATGAATATATTGTATACGACAATATCTTGCATGTACACTACATGTTGCATATCATATAATATTGTGTAATGTATTATATTACATACTACTTACTACAGTACATATCGTATGTCATATTGTGATCTATGTACACACTATGTGCATTCTGGTTGTTCAACATAGCTATGGATAATGGTCCATTTAAAGATAATTAATGAACAGCAAGCAGCAAAGGCCCTGCGCTCAACTTCGCCACGTCTTCAACCTTCTCCACCACGCTACTCTTCCCGGCAACACCCGAGAAGGCCTGGGGGCCAGGAATGGAACATACTGGAACCACTCAGCAGGTGGTTGAAAACACTGGGAAAATGGCACGCTGAAAACCTGGCCATTTTATTAAGAATGAATCATTGGAGTATGAGACGTTCCCAGTACTTCGGGATGCATGACGTGAGTATACCCAAGATATGGCAAATACAAGTGAATTTTTAGTTGTAGTGCACATAGTAGATCATAAAACTAGTAATTTCTCCCGGTTTTAAGATGATTGAACCATAAAATAAGATGATTAAATAATTATATTACATTTAATAATCTTAATAAATTAAGAATGATCTTGGTAAACTGCAGTAACTGGGCTATAATGTGTATATATATATATATCCAACATGTGACTAACAAAATCACACAAAATCTAGGTCCTCTTTTCAGAAGGCGTATGGTTTTCTGAGTCTTTTCTCAATTTGGCTTCGCTTCGCTCCAGTTTTGAGTTTGCGAGTAGTTCAAACACTAACTAACTGGAGTGCTTCGCAAGTGATCACCGACTTACCGATGCCAGGGAAGCACGTCCAAGTCCAATGAGTAAGTCTGAGAGCATGTACACCGACTAAATTCACTATGAAAACTATGAAAAAATATGGCCATATCCAATCCAGAAATTATCTTACAAATCCAATTTGAGGTTCAATTTATCGGGAAACATGGCTTACAATCCAGCATGACCAACCACTGTTTGGCGTCAACAAAACAGGGAAAATTTTATATGATCTCCTGTCATCACTGTAATGTTCGGCCAAAACTGATTTGGTGAATTTGCTTGGGGTTGGATCTGACATGATGTTAAGAAACTGGAACAAACTGGAACATCCGACCCATGGCATTTAAATGCTTTTAATCTAAATTATGATCCTGAAATGGCCACTAGTCTCAAGAGAAAGAATACCACAGCAGAACTGAACATGGCCAGTCCCATGTTTATCTTTCGCGATATGATCACATCTGTTTCCATGTTGGGCAATTCTGGCAGCAATTCTGCCAAGGTTAAACCACCCTCCCATCTGTCAAATCTGGCAATGGGAAATCCAGAACTAGCCATGTATGATGAGCTGCTTGGGCCATGCGGCTATGGGGATCAAAAAAAAACACGTTTGCTTCACACATATATATATATATGTATATATATATATATTATATACATACTTCATATATCTTCAAAGAATCACTTAGAATCTAATAGCCAGGTTCTTCCCTCAAGACGAAACCACCAGGAATTCTATGCTGTGATTAGTTGGTTGAAACATGTTAAACCATGACACATGCTGAACTATCAACGTTCGCACACTCACCGTGTTTTTTTTTTTTAAGGGAATAATGTTGTAACACCAGCCCATTTTTTGTGCAATTGACATCTATACAATGATCAATCAACTCTCATATACCAACTGAGAGAAAAAAACAGCACAAAACAGCCACATATCGACATGGAATACGATGATATATATATATATATATATTTATTTATAATGATATATATATATATATTAATATATGTATACAATATGATACTGTCTATGTATATAAATATATATATAATGATAAAATTTATTCTAAAGGCGACCCAATTTCATCTCAATTCCATCAAGACATCAAGACATCAAGACTTGTCCCGTCTCCAAGTCGCCACAGAGGCCCCGATAAGGCCAGGCAAGGTGAACACGAACTGGATAACTGGGAAGAAGAGAGTGAAGTTCACCGTGCCCTGGGCGCACACCATGACACTTTGGATAAGAAACCAGACACCAAGATTGAAAAAACATGAAAAAAAACAGCCAGCCATGGGACCTTGAAATTAATTGAAAGATCCGGTGCAAGATCCGGTGTCTTGTTTGTTTTTTTACATAAGGGGGCTGGAATTCGTGACGGAACAGCCAAGATTTTGGTCGACATCTCCCGACGGAGCGATATGGCCGGAAATAAATTCGACTCTTTCTGGACAGTGGAAAGAATGAGAAATTGGTAGGCAAGTCATAGGTACAATTTATATGTATATAACTGTATATATATATATTGTATGTAAATATATATTCATATATATATATATATGAATTAAACAACAAATAAATATAAGAACCACGCATCGAGATATCACTAAGCATCATGAGCATTCCATGACATTCTGATGAGAGCTGATACCTTCAAGTGATTGAGGTGGGCTGGCATCTTGTTCTGCATGCACCCCCTTATAATGGCTAGGCGATAACCAATCAAAGATCCTGGTTTAGTATTGGATCTGTTCATTTAAAAGCCCAAACAGGGGGGTTACATTGCATTTAATGTCAGCGGGCTGGGAGTAAACAACCGTGAGCAGAAAATAAACATCACATATTGATTAAGATGGAACCTGTAGCGGCTCTAGCGCAGTGGCATGAGAATCAACGAAAGAAAATGGACAAACAACTCTTCAGGAGAGGGCCTAGGAGCCGGGACCGTTCTGGGAGAATTAAGATATCCGATGATAATCTGATTTGGTTTGGACACCTGGCATTTGTAGATGATCTGCTTACTGCAAAAGTAGGAGTTTGGTATATTCCCAGAGGGAAGAGGATGCCACATGGGGTTATCCATTCTAATGTTGTACCGTTGTACCCCTAAAATCCCATGGTTTGTCCATTTTGTGTAGCCCATTTTTTGAACTACACCCACATGTTGGCAGCTTTTGCAGCCGACAATGTGAATAAGTAATTTCCACCATCATTCTTCATCAGCAATTCTACAATAAATCAATCCCTCAACTTTCCAAGCTCAACTCTTGATTTCGCTCACCACTTACCTTCCAGACACAACATTTCCCGGTTTATGCTCATCCATCCCATACGAGGAATCCTTAAGGTCGACATAACCCTCGTCACCAAACATGGCGTGACAGTTCCCCATTTAGTTCGATAATTTGTTCTCAACATGTCCCAACTATAAACCATTTAAAAGAGTTTTAAGCCTCTATCTATCTACAGTAATATATATATATATATATATTATACAGTATATTCAGTATATGCATATATATATATATATTATATTATTAAATTTTATTATATTGTATTAAATTATATCATATCAAATATATTTATGTAAGTATGAAATGTATATTGTTTATATATATTATATTATATTATATATTACATTATGTTATATTGTTATATATATTATATTATGTTATGTTATATTATATTATGTTATGTTATAATTATATTATTATATATATAGACAAGGAAATTCCATGAAATTCCCACGCAGTCATGTTGACGCCAGAGGATACCCAGGACTTTGATGCGAGTGACCATTCCCATTGCCTGAAAATCAGACTTTGATGGATCTGGTGTTGCCATTGCACCCGTGCTACCGACGTGCGGCTGACCGAGATTGAGATATCCCTGGAAAGCTACAGCCTCAAGCCCGGGGACCATGTGTCAATCGGTATGGTCCAATGGTCCAAGTGCCCAGAACGTTCGCTGGGACTTCTGAAACAGGATATACCGCTACTTCCAGTGTGTTGCTGGTGTCATCATCTTTCCTATGAAAATTGTTTTTTTTTTTAATTCAAGGACACCCAGCTGCCAGCGCACTGAACTCGGGAAAGCGATCATAAGAAAACAAATACAAAATATCTTCGGCCTCCAGCAAATTGAAAGAAATGCATTCCAACATGAACACGCCACCACGGCGCACATTGGACGGAACCATCCGTTCCCGTCCCACCACAGCCTTTCTTTTGCGCAGCATGTGCAACTTCAATCGTCACTAATCACTAAGTGGCGGCTCCTTACCGCGTGGCCCACTGTATGCTCTAAAGCAGCACAGCGCGAGTGGCCAAAACTGTTCAGTTCCAAAGCCGGGGAGCTCTTTCCAATCTTTGGTTTTCCCATAACTTATAGAACATCAAATGCAAGGATGATAAGGATGCCCAATCTTTAGAGGCCGCCAGATCATCAGCAAATTCCTGCCGGCCGTCGTGGCCGAGGGCGGTAGATCATCTTTCGTGATCCCCGGGTTCTTCCTTGGCGGTGCACATAGCTTGGGGACTTCGCCAAGGGAACCATGCGCTACCTTTAGGGTTTGCCTTGGAAACATGGGGACAGGGGACTGACGGGGACTGAGGGTGGGTTAGGGCGACCTGGGGGCTAGCATCTTCTTCTGCCTCTGTCTATAAACAGGGACCCATGGCTGAGTCAGGAGACTAGGCGAACAGTGTGGTGTTACCTACCTTATAGTGACGGACATGTACTTAGAACATCAAATTTTTCCAAAATTTCGAAACCTCCTCTTAGAACATCAAAATTACCGTACTTAGAACATCAGAAATGTTTCTAAGTACGCACTTAGAACATCAGAAAAACAGATACTTAGAACATCTCCATTGATTTTTGCATACTTAGAACATTAAAACACACATATACTTAGAACATGTCTTGTTACTTTGGTAAATCTGCATATATACACACAAATACCTTGGTGAACACCATACTTAGAACACTTTCTCCCCTCACTGCTGCAGCATTCTATACCTTTTCTTCGGGAACAATATCCCAAGCAGTCTTCGCTGCAATGGGAAGGTCTCTAGTAATTTGTGGGTTTCCTACAGGGGGTAGTCAAAAAGCATAGGTTTCAATACAAATACTTCGAACATACACATATATATATGGTTCCCATTGGTTCCCCACTGGGATGTTCTAAGTATAGGTTGGAAATGTTCTAAGTATAGGTTTTGGGTATGTTCTAACTACTTTTTTTGAAACCCATACTTAGAACATCCCCGCTGTGACGATTTTCAGATTTGTTTTTCCAAATGATGTTCTAAGTAGTTGTCCGTCACTATACATATGTTACATAGTTATTATAGTAACCGGCTAGCACATAGAATATTAAAAATTTTAATGTACCACTAAGAATATGGAAATTACATAGCAAAACCATAATTTGGAATGTCATCCACATAGAATATTTATCCACATAGAATATGGGCGTATAAATATAATATAGAGGTATATATATATATAATATATATATTATCCAAATCTCAAGACTCTCCAAGCAAATCGTTGATCAGTGCTCTTTTTCCCCTTTCATGCACGCTCGGGATTAGTCTTTGTGCTCCGGCTCTGCTGCTCGTGCAGTTTGAACCTTTTGAAGCTGAAGTTTTGCCAATCTATCCTTGGGGTGAAGCTCCAAGTGACCCTGCAACATGAGCTCAATCACCCTGAGTAATGCCTGCTTTGCAGTGCGACCACTTGATGGTCCAAAAGATCTACCATGATGGGAAGACCCTCCACCGTAAGATCGCCACACCATGTTTCCTGGATGAATACCTAAACTACATCCTTCAGGCCTGACAGTCAACCCCGCCGCTTTGAGTTCCTGATATTCTGGTCGGTGCTCAAGTGCTGCATTGCGTGATTTCTTGCCATTCTCGTCCTCTTTGGGTTCTGCTGTCTTGTCATCATGCTCGTCCTCTTGCTCTGAGTCTGAGTCTTTGACAAAGAGAAACCCACTGTGTAGCTCTGAATCCAGTTCATCACCGGAAAAGTCGCCGTACTCAATTGGTTCACCATGCTCCATTTCGATCTGCTTGTCCTCTTCCAAGTCGAGAGTATGCACCGCATCATGCTCCACACCAAGTCCTGCGTACACAATTTTGATGCACATAGAATATAATTCAATACACACACACGTGTGTATATATATAATATACATATACGTTAATACATATTCAAACCAAACAAATCTTACCACAGTATTTGTTTGTGTATGCACCGCATTATGTTCCATGTCAAGTCCTGTGTGCACCAGCTTGATGCACATAGAATATAGTTCAATACACACTGTTGATGTGGTGTATGTGTTGGAAAAAAAACAACTCCCGACACAAACCAACAACACAGATCCTGAAAAGTGATCCACATCATCTGGTACTTCAACTTGAGGAATAGCTTCACCCTCCAAGAGATGAAGAGACCACTGTTTTCCGTTGCCCGACTTAACCCAAAGGTCAGCTGGATCCAACGAAGGATGAATCACCAGCATCAGGCATGTTTTTTTCAACTGTGCTTGAGACTTTTTTCCTGGTTGCATCACCTGTGCCTTCCTTGCTTTGTCTAGGACAAGTACCCTTGTTGGATTGGACACCCATTGCTGATATGCTTCGTTCATTTTGGGAGCCAACGAACCAAAACCATTTGCTTTACGTTTGGCTATACGTTCCTCCCAGACAGAAAGTTCTCGTTTCCACGTCAACAGAACATTTGTCAATTGGAAGCTGAAACCACGATGGTAGTGCAATTGGCTCAGCTGTTGGGTTTTCGTAATCGTTGATTGCCCAGAACTGATGCAACTCCCCCTTCAAAGTTGTGGTTTCAGCTGCAGCAACGATATCTTCTTCACCAGTAGGTTCAACAGAAGGAATTTCATCCAAACTATACAAAGTTGCCATTGCACCCCTTGTTTGTTCAAAAGATGCCTTTGCTGCTTCCATGTTGCCATCATGATGCCATTCAGCTATTTGCTCCATGCTGGTCAAACCGCGGCTGACCCATGCCCATTGAATCAGCTTCCCACCTTGATAGTTTTTGAGGGATTGAAGAGCGAATGCATCGGCTCTCAAACTCCCTTCGGTAGTCAACCTGGGTGTAGTGCGAAATGCTTGGACAGTCACTGCTTATTTGATATTGTGAATAGATTTTCTCTTTCATATTCTAAGTGCATCTCAAAATCATCTTTTACAATCATAAACTAATGAAAATTAGCTCGGCTCTCAAATTCCCCCGGTGGTCAACCTGGATGTAGTGCAAAATGTTCGGACAGTCACTGCTTATTTGATACCGTGGGTATGTCTTTTCTTTCATATTCTATGTGCATCCCAAAATAATATTTTACAAACAGAAACTAATGAAAATTAGGTAAACCAAACAATCTGCACATGCAACTCAAACCGCGGATTGCCATCCACACTGATCGACATCTCAGCCAAAGTTGATCGTAGAGTTTTCCCCATGCCCACCGTGATCCGTTGCGCCGCGCGTCTCAATCCATGATACCACTGATGGAAACCATCACAAGGTCCACCACAAGCTCCCCAGCCTGATGAACATGTTATATATGTTGAATTTCTGAACATTTTCTTTTTCACTATATATATATATGGAACCAATATATCAATAGTACACACCTGAATCTTTTGATATATGTATATGTGTCTGTATACACAAACTTCTACAACAAACAAAAATAGCTTTCAAACTTGTATTTGCCTCCTGGGATTGCAACATATTGGTAGGAAGCACCGTGAAGCAGAATGCAGTTGTGAGCACGTTGAAACCGATCTCTAAGCTTTTCGAAAGTGCTGCTTTGATGAACCGTTGCTTTGTCCATGAGTATCAACGCTTTTGAAGATGCATCGAGTCCGTGTTTCATCCTTTTTGCACGTAGTTCGCTCCCCAAAAATTCAAGGTATTCACCCAAAGTTGCAGCATTCCAGTAGTGAGTGGACCCTGAGTGACGAGTTGAGATGTGTAACACATGGCCCAATTCTCGATTCATTGCGTCTATCGTCTTTTCTGACCTTGCAAAGCGACTTTGGTTTCCATGGTGAATAAAGTTCAAATATATGCAAAAACAATGCACATAGAATATTTTGGTCTATATGATCTGGCAACCAGAAACAATATATATATAAGTAACCATACATATGTATATTCCTTTCAAGCTGATTTATGTATATATGTATATTCTTTTGATAAGTTTTGTATGTACCATATGTATTATATATTAGTAATAGGAACGAAAAACAATAAGAAACAACTGAGTTTTGTACGCTGTTCCAGGTGCCATAGTAACAAAAGCTCTACCCAAATCACCATCGGCCCAACTTAACGTCGTCGTAGTTCTTGGTACGCGAGCGTAGTCCACCGGGTTCAAATTTCCAGCGGCGTTGAGTCTGACTGGTTGGCAAACATCTTTTTTTGTTGAACCAGTATCACATTCAAGAGAAAGTGCTTTCCTGATACTGTTCAATGCTTTGGTGACTGAAGGTGTATTGTTCTTTTCAAAGAATGAACCACGTTTACTTTCATGTTTGTACAGGACACGACGAGCTCCTTCATACTGCATTGTCCACACCTGGTCAAAGTTTGCAACCAGTCTACCATCTATCCGATGTTGCTCCACACACAAGGTTACAAAGGCCCTCACATTGGCAACCATGGGATGATCGTAGTCCAAGTGTTTTGATTGTTTGGTCACCGAACTTGTTCGGATCCCCAATCGGTTGCAAACTCGAGATGCACAAGACCTGGGCAGTCGAGATGATCATTGTCGTGATGGACCTGGGCAGTCGAGATGATCATTGTCGTGATGGTGTAAACCATGTGAGTGTGCACACAAAACGATGCACTTAGAATATTGTTCTCGACAATATATATATATGTGTGTGTATGTAAGCCCATATATATAATTAAATATACATATATATTCATTCATCCATTGTTTCTTTTTTTCCAAAAAAACATAGTTGCAAATCATCAGGCAAGGTTCCCCAGTGCAGTAGGTTGGGTGCTGATGTTGCAGGGCTGGAGTGTCTCTAACAACTTGCTCAATGCTGTCATTTCATCATCCTTTGCCATTCGCGCAACATCATCTCCAACATCTTCAGACTCAGCGATTGCGTTTTGTGCTTGCAAGATTTTCTTTTGTACTGTTTCCTGAACATCGGCCTGCAACTCTTCAATCTTTTCATTCCAAAGTTTCACCAAAAGTTTCAACGTTGATTCAACGAAATCGTAAGAAACTTCTTCGCCAGCCGCTAATCTGTCCATGATGATCGTATCCAGTGCTAGGGCTAGGCTTGGTGGTATCACGTGCAGCCCATCACTTTTGCTGAATTTCCCTCCATTCCACTTCTTTGTGGTAATGTTCAGAACATCACGCAGTGAGTTAGGAACTTCAGAATGCTTTTTTGCAATCTTTGGAGCGTATTTGACCAACAAATCCCAGTTTTGTTTTTTTCGATGTCCTCCCCAATGACTGTCCGTGAAACACCCCTGATATGCACCTTTCCTTCTGGCAGTAGAGAGGAAATGCTTCTCTTTGTACTTCACCGATGGATCTGCGCAAACACTCTCATACTCCTGAGATGGGATGGCAAATATGTCTCTATGCCATTCCATATTCTAAGTGCATCTCAAATCACCTCTACAGAAAGAAAAATCATATATATATATACATGGTTCCATGTTCCGTATTCCTGCCCCACCAAATGGTATAGATTACCATGTAGCACCCGGTACCATTATGTGTTGCAAGCTATTTGCAGCATTTCCAATGTTCAGCATCGTATATGCAAGCTATTTGCAACATTTCTGATGTTCATCTTCGACCTTCCATCTTCCACCTTCCACCCGACCCTTCCCACCCAACCACTCACTATGCCATTCCATATTCTAAGTGCATCCTAAATCACCTCTACAAAAAGAGAAATCATAAATATATATATATATATGGTTCCATGCTCCGTATTCCTACCCCACCATATGGTATAAATTGCCATGTAGCACCCGATGCCATTCTGTTTAGCAAGCTATTTGCAACATTTCTGAGGTCCATCTTCGACCTTCCATCTTCCACCTTCCACCCCACCCTTCCCACCCAACCACCCCATCCCATCACAAAGGTGATGGGTTCAATACTATTGTTGGCTCATACACATTAACACAGCATGGAAAATAGGTTGGAAAGCTATATCTACATCATAAGGGTGACATATGTTATATATATATATATATATACATATACAATATATATATATATATATGCATGTATATTGGCAGTCGAGTTTCTTCAAACAACTTCATCTTGTCCCAAATGCTGATCACAGATTGTTTCCCATCTCGTGCAGTCTTCGCCTTCTCAGAATCATTTCCTTTTTTTCCTGGTGGATCTTGGTTGGAAGCAGTGACAATAGCCTCACAATCTTGAGGTGCTTGTTTTTTTGGACGTCCTGGTCCTTTCTTTCTATTGGATTCTCGTAATGACATCAAATCTTTGATATGTTGAGGTACTATCATCGCATCTGACTGCTTTGTTTTCCCTACACATCTGCGTTTGGGAGGTGGCAATGGCACCAAGGCTTCCTCTGATGAACTGATGCGTTTTGACAGTTGTGATGAGGCTACTATCGATTCACTTGATAGACTGATGCGTTTCTGTGGTCGGGATGATGCTGATGCTTCTGCTGGTGGACTGCTGTAAACACTTTCATCTCGTACATCATCATCATCAGAGCTACTCTTACGCTTGATACCCCGTTCACTCGATGATGCTGTAGACAAAGTCCCTTTAGCATCTGGTGTTTCGAAGAAATCAGGTTGAGAGCTTGAGTCATTTGGAGTAGTACCACTTTCGAAACCAGTTTGCAGAGCGTTTGTAGCGTTTCCATGTGATCCTGCGAGATTGATCCATCCCTGACCATGTACCAGAGACGCGATGATTTTGGCCTGCATACATGTAGAAGCGAAAGCGTTACCAGCAAGGTCTTGTGCTTTTGAAGCTTGTTCCCACGTGCTTTGAACTGCCTCTTGGTTCTCAAAGTTGCATTTGAACAGTCCTTGTGCTGCCCACATCTCTTGTATGGTCACAAAACGTTGAAGCTGATTGCTGTAAATTTTGTGCGTAGGTCGCACACATGTAAGGACATTGGTTGCACTTTCACACTCTCTTGTTGACGAAGTTGACGTGTCTAGGAACACATTTTGGCAGTTTGCTTGTAAACATGCTTTTTCCAAAGCTTCCTGCAGTTTGTCATATTGTCGCCCCTCCAGCTGCTGATGTGGCAAAGTAGTGTCAAACACAGAATCAAACGGTAACAACACATCAGAAGCCATAGACTCCATGGTTGCTTTCATTTTTTGCGCAAAGGATTGGGAACATTGACCAGCATTGATGTCCGCTAATGCATACACCCGATTCCGTCTTTGAGGTAAGAGGTAGTCTTGTGCATCAATTTTGGAATGTTCAACAACATAGCCAAGTTCTCCCAGGTCTTTGGTCATGACCTGCAGGGAGAGGAAGGGAATATGACCATATTCTATGTGCATTAAAAACAATCCCTTTTATACATAAATATCTACAAAATAACAGATATCGAATGATAGAGAGATAAAGAGATACAGAATACAGACAAAAAATACAATACCTTCCTACTTTAGCTACACACATAAGACCGAAGAAATCATAGCACCATTTTCATATCTTGATTATTCCCCAATATCCATTCACATATTCTATGTGCATTAAGAACATTCCCTTTTGTATTTATAAGCATATAGATAAATACTATATATATATACCACTGTAATACAACATCTGAAGCCTGAATTTGATATGAATCTGAATCCCGTGGCCTCCATGGGGGATGGTTTCTTGTTCACTGCAAACATCACTCCCAATACGTTCTCGAAGAACAAAAGTGCAGGATTTGTAGAAGAAACAGCACCTTTTACTCCATGTTGGTATGTGTAGCCACTACTTCCTTCACCCGTACTGTAGCAGTGCTTGTAGGAAGACCGGTCGGCATTCTCCAAACTGATGCTTTTGCATGATGGACCAACAAATAGGATATCAACTTCAGCTGGCGCATTGTGGACACAACCACAGGTATCGCAATACCCTTTGCCATCTGCAAAAATACGAACATCGCTGAAAAGATGAAATGTTGGTTTTTCACCCTTGGCAGTGTGAGCATCAGCAATGAACTTCCTCTTGTAAGGTTCAATCTCAACGCTAAACTCATGACGCAGTTGAATATTTACCTGGAGATTTGAATATGGATCTCAAATAGCAACATGTGGAAAACATAAAGTTATACAACAAAGCTGTACATTCAAAAGAAAATCATGTTTGTATATATTTATACAGCTATGTATTGAAATAGTCGTTTATTTTACTACATGAAGGGAACTATATACATATTTATATATAAACCACTATGTTTTGGTAGGTTTTCCTTGAATTTAATCTTCTAAAAACATATATATGTAAAATCAGAAGCTCCACCGAGTTGCGTCGAAGAGCTGACCAAGAATTTGGAAGGTGCTTTTCATAACGCACACGCAAACATCAGTTCCTGAACATGTAGATCCCATAGTCACTGTGTGTCCATCGAGTTGTCGGAGTCTCTCACCAAGAATGTTCCTATCTTCTTCAGATAGTCTGTCAACGAAGTACTTGCATGTTTCACGTAGGTCAGGCTCAGGCACCTCTCTTTCGACAAAGGACTTCAACTTTGCAATGTTGACCCACGTGGCTTTGCCTCTACTACTGGGACCCTGTAGTGGTTGTTTCAGCTCAACGATATCCTCCAAAATCCATTGGTAAAGAGGCTTCTTGTTGTGCACAATTCGCTTGCGCCATGCTAACTTTTGTTCTTCAGAAGCAGTTTTAAATTCAGTGCATGTTCTAAGATCTGCAAAGTTGTTGATGATCTTGATCGTAACAAGCGTTGCTGTGCCAACGAGTTTGCCTTGCTGCCTACATTCCATGATGCCAATTGTAGAGTTGTCCTGCAGCTTGTGTTTCCAGTTGCATATCAAATGTCTTTGCTTGCAGGAAGAGGATTGTATCAAGCTTTGCCAAGTCTCTTCGTACAGCTTTAGCACAAAGCTTTCTGTTCCAGTTGAAACTGAACTTTCATCTTCAGATTCATTTTTCTTCTGGCTGTTGTTTGCTACTCCTTCCTCTTTTGGTATCATGGTTGTTGTTGCTTGCGCTGCATCTGGTGGCTTTTGCCATTGTCGCTCTGTGTGTTTTGCTTGCATGGCTTGTGGTGCATGCTTTGTCATTGATGGTGGTTGCGATGGTCGTGGTTTGAGTGTTGGTCGTTGTGACGGTCTTGGAGGTGGTGCTGGCTGTGTTGCAGTTGCAAGAGCATCTTTTGGCAAATAGTATGGAGATTGGCTTGGTTGTGGTGGATGTGGTGGTGCCGTTTGTGGTAGTTGTTGTGGCTGCAGTGCTGTGGATGCATGTTTCATCGGCATCGTTGCTGAAGATGTATCTGGAGTGAATCCAGAATGATCTGTTCTTTGTGAATCTTCACTTGGTGAGAATGAACGAACTCGTCCTTTGGACAACACTTTGTTCAGCCGTTCCATGATGCTCCCTTCCACGTTGTGTGTTTCTTGGTGGTCAGGTCTTATGAAAAAGAAACTGCTTGACAAATTTGTTCTTGCGTCTGTTGTGCTGATGTCTGACTGCTGTGCTGTCGGAAGTGCTCCTGGGCTGTGTGGCTTGTCATGATCGTCACGCCGGTCGTCGGTCTGATGTGCTTCGCATGCTTCTGCCTCTGCTGCTTGTGATTGCCCTTGTGCATGAACTGTGTTGGTGGGCTGCTGGTCAATGGTGCATGGTGGCTGCTGAGATGTCTGGTCAGTGTGATCGTTTTTGCTATCTTCTTTGGTTTGTTCTTCTGGTGGCTTGGCAATCTTCCCATATTCTATGTGCATCGCTTTGACCGGCTGGTCAGCTGGTGATGCTTGTGTTTCTGTTGCTGGAACTGGTGTTGCTGCTGGCTCTGCCGAAAGTGCTTGTGGGCTGTGTGGCTTGTCGTGACCGTCATGCTGGAGGTTGGTCTGATGTGCTTCGCATGCTTCTGCCTCTGCTGCTTGTGATGGCCCTTGTGCATGAACTGCGTTGGTGGGCTGCTGGTCAATGGTGCATGGTGGCTGCTGAGATGTCTGGTCAGTGTGATCGTTTTTGCTATCTTCTTTGGTTTGTTCTTCTGGTGGCTTGGCAATCTTCCCATATTCTATGTGCATCGCTTTGACCGGCTGGTCGGCTGGTGATGCTTGTGTTTCTGTTGCTGGAACTGGTGTTGCTGCTGGCTCTGCCGAAAGTGCTTGTAGGCTATGTGGCTTGTCGTGACCGTCATGCTGGAGGTTGGTCTGATGTGCTTCGCATGCTTCTGCCTCTGCTGCTTGTGATGGCCCTTGTGCATGAGCTGCGTTGGTGGGCTGCTGGTCAATGGTGCATGGTGGCTGCTGAGATGCTTGTTCTTCTGGTGGCTTGGCAATCTTCCCATATTCTATGTGCATCGCTTTGGCCTGCTGGTCAGCTGGTGATGATTGTGTTTCTGTTGCTGGTGCTGGTGTTGATGCTGGCTCTGCCGGAAGTGCTT